TATTCTCAAGTGGATGCAGAATGTTGAGCGGTTCTTTGAATACAAGACTGTGTTGATGATAGAAGAGTGAAACTCACCTCCATCAAGCTAATGAGGAATGCCTCTTTATGGTGGGAGAAGGTGAAGAGGGAAAAATTGGGAGAAGGATGAGATAAAATCATTTTTTAGGAAAGATGAGGAAGGTGATGTAGCGATAATACCTACCCTTGCACTGCAGCTAAGATATTTTTATGAAGCTCCGCAATTTGTATCAGGAGTTATCAGTGGAAGCATACACAACACAATTAGCACAAGCCAAGTTGAAATGTGAACTGAAAAGAGACAGAGGAGCATTCCATGGCACTGTATTGGGGGGGGGGGTGTGAAGCACTATTAGTAACGTGGTACAATTGCAAACCTATTGGGCACTGAGGGACGTGCAAATCTTAGCACCAATGGTGGAGAGATAAAAGTGGCAGTAGAGGTACCAGTCTCAATTCAGACAAACCCCCTACAACTGGAGGCCCCAACAGGAGCATGCGTGGAGGAGTGGGAAGGACTGTAGAGAGAAATGACAAGATAAATCAGAGTGGGAAGACACTTAAAAAGAGCAACACACTTGATACTATTCTAGGTCGAAAATGCTTTTGATGCCACAAATAAAGCCACATTATCTCCAGCTGTCTGACGAGTCGAGTGGTGTCATTCACTGAGCAGGGTGTCATGGAAGAAATGAGTGATGATGAAGCAGTTGAGGAATACTGGCTTCACGGAGATGAGGGAGATATGCTAGTTGTATGAAGTGTTACACAAATGAAACCGTAGAGCGGTCACTTGTAGTTGAGGCATAATATTTTTCACATCAAGTGTACAACAAGAGGGAAAGTTTGCAATCTCATTATTGACAGTGGAAGTTGTGAGAACGTGGTCTTTGCCTTCATGGTGAAGAATTTAGATGTGACTACAGAGAGATTCACAACCTTATTCTCATGACCCGACTCGATACTTAAAATTAACTAAGGCAGGTACTGCAATTGGTCAATACTAACATTTAACTTACTATCCACATTTTATAACTTCCAATGCATATAAAAGAGCTACTAATAGTCTGTAGGTACAATAAAGAAATTTAAATCGTCCAACAGTAACATATAATTTGCAAGTAAAATCTCAATCCTCACAACCATATTTGTCTATTCAAAAGAAACAATACAAAAAAAATTTACGAACATATCATACTAATAAGTATCAACTGTAGTCCTCCTCTAAACAAAGTCTGTTCTACCAAAGACATTAACTTAAAACTTTTATTCTCTTGAAAGAAAACATTAATTGTAATCATAACTATGACTTAATGAGTAATTATAATATGTCATGTATTAAATTCTTATGCTATACTTGATATGAATGACCAAAAGTAAGTTCATTTCATTAAAACATTAAATTTATCTCTTGTCGTTGCATTTTAAGTCTTTATATTTTTTAACATTTTTAAGAGTTATAACACGATTACATTCATACTCGAAGGTATTATAAAAAATGTGTCCGAAGTCACCATTAAAAATGTACTTGAAGGCACCCTCAAATTGCCGCATTTTTACAATTTTCTTTAACATGTACGGGTACATCGCATCCTCTGCCAGTACCTTTTGCGGGTAATTCTGTATGACTTAAACTTTACGTTTCATTTCATATGAAATTAAAACATTTAAAATTTACCTTCTCCAGTCTATTATTTTTCTTCTATCCTTTATATCATTTCAGACTTTCAAAATGAAATTCATAAATGAAACACTTGTTATAAATCATTTAACGTGATTATTCATTTAAGTAAAAAATTAATTTACTGCATAAAATAAAATAATCACACAGTTTAGCAATTAATCAAGTACTTCCCCCTTGCACTTTGACGTCTATTTCGTCCTTTAATTTAGTTGTTTGATAAATTAAAATTAATATAATTAATTCATGAAAGTTGTTGATATGCAATTAACACTACCTTTAATTAAACCAAATTTACATAATTAACGCATATAACATATTAATTTTTATCTTTTTCTTCTTTGGAATGTTTAATGCACCTAGCACATTCATAAGAACATTCCACCATTAGAGTCATTACTTGCTAACGAGCGTGTTCACTTTATTCACAAATCATGAGGAACTAAGAATCTGGAATAGTCAGAAATTGTTAAAGGGTAGACATGGTTCATGGGTTGAACTTTTGGCGTCATTCCAGTTCGTGCTTGAGCACAGGGCAGGAAGTCTGAATTGAGTAGTAGAGGGCTTGTGCTGCCCCAGCTCACTGGTTAGCTCCCCACAATCTAGAGTTGTGAGACTTTAGATAGTGAAGGAGTTATCTAGTACAAATGAGGATTTTGGAAAAAATTGAGAACTACGTCAGGACAGGCTCACAGGTCCATACTATAGAGATGATGGTTATTTTTTCTACCATAAGAAATTGTTTATGCTCAGATGTTTGCTGAGAGTAACCATCTTTCTGAATTGTCTCGATGGGGGACTAGTAGGCCATCTTGATAGAGAAGACCCTTGTACTAGTGAAGGATCACTTTTTTGGACCCCAACTGATGAGTGATGTGGAGTGGTAGGCCGACAGTGTAGAACTTGCCACCTAGCAGAGACTTGAGGGCAAAACAATGAGCTATATAAGCCATTACCAGTACCATAAGCTCCTTCGGTAGATGTCAGCATGAATTTCATGGAGGGACTTTCGAGGACGCATTAGAATAAAGATCCATTGATGGTAGTGGTTGAATGGTTCTTGAAGATGACTCATTTTGTGTCATATTATAGGACACTGAACGTATATCTTGTCGTTGATTTGTATTTCAGGGAGATTGTGAGTCTACATTGAATCCTTAGGACCATCACATCTGATAGAGACATCAAGTGCCCAAGTCACTTCTAGAGAACCTTATGGGGAAAGCTTGTTATTGAACTTCACTTCAGCTCGACAACCCGTCCATAGACGGATGGTCAGACAAAAGTGGCGAAAATAAGCATGGGAGGCTTCCTAATGTGCTTCATTGGAAATACTATCAATCAGTGGGATTTGCTCTTAGTCCAGGGCGAATTTATGTACAATAGGTTTATAAGCCGGACTATAAGACACTCACCTTTTTAGATTGTGTATTGACGCAATTCGCCCAATTTGCTTGAATTAGTACCAATTCTTTCTACGTCGAAGATTAGTTGGGATGTTGGGGCGAGATTACATCAAATTCATAAGCTTCATGAGGTGGTTGGGAAAGAGATTACCAAACAGAATGATAAGTAATAGACACAAGCTAATAAATCTTGGAAGTTGATCTTGTAGGTGAGAGATCTAATGTGGATTGGACTGAAGAAAGAGAGATTTCCCTTAGATCGCTCGGGAAACTCAAGCCCAGAACAAAGAGATCTTTCATAATCCTCAAGAAGTTAAATGACAATGCCTTCAAGATTGATTTACCGGGAGACTACAACATATTTGCTACCTTAATAGTGACATATTTGATTCCATACTATGAGGACCTAGAAGCTTTGACAAATGAGGTCAAAGATCCCACAATTTCGGAAGACTGGTGCGGGAGCAGTCTTGTAGCTCCCGATGTGGAAGTTTTGCTAACAGGCTGCGATTTGTCTAGCGTTTCTGGACCAAACCAGTCCAAGTTAGGTCCCTTTTGAGGAGTCGGCCAATCATTTTAGACCCTCTCCTAGTTAAACTCTTATATATATTTATTTTCATAGGAGTCTAGGGTTTTTTTTTATTTAGTTTTCTGTCAAGATAGCCATTAGTGTCTAGATTTTCCCTTCTAGGGTTGCTTCCGACGGAGAGAAGGTGCTCCAACTGTAATTCGTTCCTAGCACTTTTCACCTCAGGTAGTGTTCATCTATCGTTCCCCGCTTCCCATCATCCCTCCTTCGCAGCCGTCGTCACTGTAGTTACTTCCGCCATGTAGAAAACTTCCTCTTCTCTGTTTTCCTACAGCTGGCCATCGCTTCTATCCTTTCCACCTCTCTTCCAGCCCTTCCAGCTGCCTCCAACTTGTTGTTGACCCCTCCACCCACCTCCAACCTGCTGCCGCCCTCTTTCAACCCCTCCACCTCACTGTCAGCCCTTATAGCCACCTCTAGCTTGCCGCCACCCTTTCCAACCACCTACCTACTTACTGTCGTCCCTTTCCAGCCACCTCCAACCTACTGCAACCCTCTTCACGCCACCTCCCACTTACTACCAAAGCCTTCCTGCTGCCTCCATTGCCCGAAGGGCCTCATTGCCGTCCGCCACCCAACCCACTTTAGTTACTATTTCTCCTTAAACCACAACAACACCACCGTAGACCTTAGTCCTAATTGAACTTGTGTTGAGTTTTTGATATTTCTTAGTTCCAAGCATCTCTGATTTTAACCTCAATTTTTTTTCATATTGTGGTTTGGGTTTAACTCCGATATCTCTTCAATTTAGTTAAACATGATATAAATTTCATTAATACTCTCTTTCCAAACTTGAGGCTTGTTTGTTTATAGAGAAACACCTACTAACTCCTGGGGCCCTTAATTACTAAACTAGTTCCCATGAAAATTAGAATAAAAAGGACCTAAAAGAATTTTCATTTATTAAAAAAAATCCTTCCTGACACTATGTTAGCCATGCTTTAGTTTTACAATTTTGTTTTTTCTATTTTGCTGTGTTTTGTTTTTTTTTTCTATTAAGATTGCCAACTCCATTGTTTTTCTACTAGAAGGTAATATTTCGTTACTTTTTTAAAAGTTTAGCTGCTTTTGCTGTGCATACTTTATTAATTTAACGGTTTAAATTCCTTTTAATAGCATCACTCTGTGTCCACTGCAATGTTTTTTTTTTAATATTTTTATTTAAATAGCAGAGGCAAAGAGCTTGCTATGGCGAACTCAACAAGTGGGAGTACTATATACAAATATTTTGTGTGTTTTGGCATCATTTTCTCTTTTTTTTCTTTCTTTTCGTATTCATGTCACAGTTTATCTTGTTTGTGCAGGAGCTCTAGATAAAGGTGGTGTAGGAGCATTGGAACTTGTTGCTTTGGATATGAAGGCGAGGTTAGAGTGCTATACTTCAGATTAATGCATTTCTAATTTTTTAGATTGATATGCACTATTGATGTTATTTGATCTTAGGGGCATGTACGTTTGTCGTACATTAAGCTATAAGGGAGTAGAGTTTGAAGTGATTGAGGCCCCATTAGAGGAAAAAATGAAGGTATAGGGTTTAGTTTTGTACTTGCACTTCATTTTTGTTGATTACATGTATTCATTTGTTTATTTATTTCCTTTTTTAAATTCTTGTCAATGTAATCCTATTTTCTTGCATGTTCTGCTTGGTCTGGTTATTATATTGTTTATAATTATGAAGAAGGATACAATAGTTTCAGGGCTTGCATTTTCTTTCATTTCAATATAATATACTTCTTTTATGAAGATGGTGAAATCCTATAGAATTTAAAAGATGAAGGAAACGCCTTGTTTTCCTTCATAAAATTAATCTTCTGAGAAAACCTAAACAGTATGGTTATCTTGGAGGATCTAGCAAGGTTTTGTGACCACCCTAAAAATTATTGTCAGTTTGACTGAGTAATGCATAGTTTTGAGAGACATAGTGGAATCCGACCATGCTGAGTGGATTGGAGGCCTCCGAGAGGAGTTGGTTTACTGTGAGAGAAAATAATGACTACCTTAAAGTGGATTAGCAAGGCTGCAACCTGGAACTGTTCAATCAAGTATCCTGTCAAAATGTCTAATTATCTTGACACTTGTATGCCTATAATGCGACTACATAAGTTGGCTTAGAAATTTTTTAATAGGACAAGTTTAATGACAGATTGTATGTCTTTCTGCGCCTTCCACTTTGCATTTGATGTAGGCTTCTGAGTCCTCTTGATTGTATTGCGATACCACACCATGAAGAGAGCTTGGGGTCCACTTTTCAGAGCTTTTTGTATAAGAGAGGTACCGGAGGAGAAGATGGAAGAAGGGTGTGATACTGGAGTTAACTCGAATCACAAAAGAAACAAAAATATTATTTGCTGAAAATTTAAATAGGTTACAAGGATGACTTATAACAATTGGAAAATAAACACAAATGAGCACTCTAGGGCTAGGGCGAAGTGGTGGGCTGTGATCGGGATAACGACAATGGGGCATTGGAGGTGGTAGGAAAGGGATAGAGAGGGTTGATGGAAGATGATATACCTAACCTTATTCCTTAGCTTTCTCCTCATCGCTAACTTTGTCCACGACATTTTGCTAGGTAAAAGAAATGACCCGGCTTGTCGGGCAGTTGGGGGCAATGTGTCCAAATTCGTGGCATCTGAAGTATTTTCTGGCAGAGACTGCAGTTGGCGTGCTACTCTTCTCAGGCTTCTTCTCACTGAGGGTGGCTCTATCCTTATCCTATTCAATTTTCTCAACTCTTGGCGGCGTGCTCCTTTTAGTGTCTCCAACTGTGTGGTTGCTTGACTGGGGGTGGCTGCTTGCTTTGTTTCTGTTGTCTCTTCACTTCCAAAGCTAAGGTTTGGACATCTCCAAGTGACTTATAAAGATGCAGCTGCACCACATTGCTAATTACAGGTTTTAGGCCCCCAAGTTACCGGGCCATAGTGTGCTCCTCTGACTTGATCAACTCGCATTTCATTTGTAAGTGGTTGAATTGAGCTGTGAATTCCACGAAAAGGTCTCACTGTTGCAAATTGTGGAGTTTCAAAAACATGTCCTGACGGTAATGAGGTTAAATATATTTATTCTGCATTGCTTTCATCTTCACCCACTTGGTAATCTTATCACTGTCATCTCTTGTACTTTATTGCTGTAAGTTCTCCTGCCACAAAGAGTCACTCTTTTTCAACTTCCTAACAACAAGGCAACAAACAAATTAATTTTGGGGGGAGAGGTTTCTCTCGGTCCTTAAAGGCTAGGCGATCCAACAGGTGGTTGGACCGAGATTTATCTTGGTCAGTTCAGCTGGCCTCCACAATCCCATGTCTCACCTTCAAAGCATCGCGTCATCCACATCCATCCTCCAAAGCCCCACGTCACGTTGCCAATGGATGATGTCAATTGTCCCATATATCGAGCTATGGTGCTCTCTTCAAGCTCCACTGGCTTACACTTCACCATAAGTTATTCAACTTGGCTATGTACTCTAATGAGTGATCTTTGTGTTGTAACAGGTGAAGTCTCAAGAACATATCTTGCATGTAGTATGTTGGTAGATACTTGCTTTGCATTTCTCTCTTAATCTAGTACAAGTTGCGTTTTAGTTTTTTTGTTCTTACACTGGTGCAGACGCTTCAAATTTTACTACCACAGAGATGCACTTTTCTTGAACTTGATGGCGACCTGTATTTAAAGAATTGTTCCACTATCTGAAGCATTCAATGAACTCTCCTAGGTCCATGCAGCCTGCAAAATCTGATAGGTCCAATTTGACTCCAAAATCACCTTCTCTCCTTTATTGGATGCCGAATTGATGCGGCATCGGTTCTTCATAACTTGAAACTTTTATGTGGAAAGGGTTTTCGTCATATCTTTCACCTGGCTGCTGTAGGCGACTTCACCTTGCTATTTGCTTTCAAATTATCGAGCCTTTACTGCAAATGGAGTATTTTCCGCTGCATGTCTTCCATAGTAATTTTCCGAGCAATTTGTTAAGTGTTTTTTCTCAGCGACATGGTGTCTCGTTCTTCTAACTAAATGTTTAGCTAACTCTGATACCAAGTTACACTGTTTTAGGTTTCCTAGATGGCGTTTAAGAGGTGAGGTTTGCTGGGGTTGATTGTGGAGCGACTTAGATTTGACAATAAGTTTTGACGGTGTGGGAAAGGGTTTAGGGAGCAAAATCTGATATAGAACAAAAGGCGGGCTTAGCGCGACCGTTTGCCGGACTGAAAACAACAACACAGTGGCAGTTCGCGATTTCCCTTCTTTAGTTTCTTATGTCATTCCTGTTGAGGAAGGGAACCAAGGATTTAATTTTGGCTGTAGGAATGAGGGATTTAGTTTTATTCTTCTTATTTTGTTCTTTAACCAAAAATGACTACTTTGTGGCTTATCCCACAGGTAAAGTTGTATTGGCTTTTAGGTTAGAAAGCCATCAAGTTTTGAGAATACATCGAATATATTATTTACAAATAAACATGGTAATGATATTATAATTTTAATCATTTTATTCCATTTACTTTTGTCATTATCACGGTCTTCTCTGAAGCGTATAATTAACTAAGTTGGGAACAAACAGTCGGATGATAAGAATTAAATTTTTTTCATATTTATTTTCTATAACTAACTATTTACAAATGAAAAAAAATAGAATACTTAAATTTATCTCGTTACTGATTCTCTGCGTCTTTTGTAATTATCTCTTTTATCACTTATCTTGTAATCACTTAATTAAATCTAAAATATTAAAATAAAAAGGCAAAAAAACTAATCGAAGTCAGTGATTATTCACATTCCTAAACTACAATAATACAGGAGAAAAGTATGATGATGTTAGTTAAACTTTTAATGAATAAATATAAGCTTTTGATGCTATTCAATGAATCTTATTATGTCAATTGCATATTAATATCATTATATATCTGTAGAGCGTCGTCTAAAAATTGTTAATTTTTAATGCTATTCAATGAATCTTATCATGTCAATATCATTCTATGTTTGCATAATCATTACATGAGCATCGTCTAAAAATTGTAATACTTAAGGTACTTTAATATCAATATTATTTTTCATATACGTGCACAAACTCCTTAATGTTCCTCAAATAGTATCATAAAATGACGACTCAATCATAATCAGTCATGCACATACACACATTCTATAAAGATTACTATTTTCTAAGAATATATTTCTTTCCTATTTGCATATAAGACAATATACTTATAAATTATTCAAATGATAATTTAAATAGTGCTGTGCTCATATATCATTTCTAATAACATGAAGAAAAATTCACTAGAATTAAAAAATTTTGAGTTTGCAATAATTCAGGTATACTAGTAAATGCATTTGGTCTAGAAGAAGCAAAAGATCACTATAGTATAAGAACATAAGTATTTACCTAGATGACGATTTAATTTGATTATTTGATTTAGCTTAACGACGACTCATCTAAAATAGAATGGCTAAAATAAACATTTTGTTCGTATTAAAATTTAATTTTTTGACTTTGTTATTACAAATTTAATAATTTAAATTATTTTAATTAGCTGAAATTTTTCATTATTTTATTTTATATAATCTTATTTATTTTTTTGTTCAATCTATATATATATATACAATTTATTAAACCTTATTATTATATACCTCTGTTGAGCCTAAGCATGCCAAGCTCTCGATTCCGCCTCTACTGCGCGAAAAAATATTACATCAATACTACACATGTAGAGTAATATGCATAGTCAATAAAATCACGCCACGACACTTCGCGCGATAGAGAAAAAAAACAGCGCAGTAACACAGGGAATATTCCCCCCGTGTTATTCATGTGTTATTGTGTCGTGGGAATATTCTTGGTGTTATAATAACACAATAACACATCAATAACACACAATAACACACAATAACACATGAATAACACGGGGGAGAATATTCTCCCGTGTTTTTACGCCGCTTTTTTCTCTGTCGGGAAAATTCACCGTGTTATTCAGGTGTTATTGTGTGTTATTCATGTGTTATTGTGTCATGAGAATATTCTTGGTGTTATAATAACACAATAACACATCAATAACACATGAATAACACGTAATAACACATGGAGAAATATTCCCCGTGTTACTGCGCCTTTCTCTATCGCGCGGGATGTCGTGGCGTGATTTCATTGGCTACGCACGTTATTTCTACGTGCGTAGTACTGATGTAATATTTTTCCTACTGCGCATGGGCGAGCTTCTCTTCAGCGTGTGATGCTCGACTTGACCTCCCGCACGAATGTCTTCGCCACCTTCTTCCTCCCTTTTTTCTCCCTTGCCTGCTCGGGAACTAGCGATCATTAAGCAAAGGATATTGCCCTGCAGTTAAGATGATGTCTCACTCTGTGGCTAGGGTTGGTCGGCCTCTTACTCATGTTTCCCTTTCCTCTACTTCGGTTTCTTCTTCCGCACGTGGCTCTTCATCTACCTTAACACCAAATGCCGCTCGGAGCTCGACAATGCCACAAGAGCGTCTTTACCTTGATCGGCTAGGCTCCAGCTGCTCGACATTTGCACCAAAAACTGCTTGACATTACATGTAAGTCGCTTGCAGCGTTTCATAGGCGAATTCGACTCCTTAGCTTCTCAACACTTCGTTTCAACTTTTTGATTCCTCGCTTCCTCTCCCTTCTGCTCAACTCTTCGATTCCTCTCCCCTTCCTCTTTTCCTCTTCCCGTTGTGACTGAAACTGGTTGTTACAGTTATATTATCTTCTTTGTGGGTTTTGTGGAAGAATCCGTCTTAACAAAGTGCTGGATGGACAAGGTTATGATAATATATTTAACTACCCGTTATTGCTTCCACTCTAAGATATTGAACTGACTACCTCTTTAATTATGCACTTATTATGTCTCAAAAAACGAGAAAAATAAATAATATATGCTACAAATTAATGTTGAAAGATAAAGATAAAGCTTGTGTAAAAATTAAAGGATAAATGGGTTATGTAGAAGAAAAATAGAACAAGAAATTTTGTTGCGCATGTATAAACATGAATTTGAGAAAAATATCACGTAGAACATATATTATAGATAAAAGTTCCATGCAGTTTTCTGGCGTCACGTGTTCATGCTGACATGTATTGTTTGAATTATTCCTTGTCTTCTTCATGTAAGCTTGTCTTTGATTTTAAAGCAAATTTTCAATTTATTAGGATATGTATGAGAAGGCCGCTGAATTCTGGGCAGAATTAAGAGTTGAACTTCTATCAGCAAGCACATTTCTTCCTGATGAAAAACCCAATTCGCGCTTGTACTGGGCCAGTCATCAGGTAGATTGCTGAGACATGACATTTTCTACTAAAAGTATTTCTTATTGAATTCTGGTTTTAATGTCCATGAGTTATATGTTCTCTATCCATTTCATTTTGATTCAGTATTTCACATGTGCTGAAGATTTATCCTTAATATTTGAATCTGAGTTTTACAGCGCTTCTTCAGACATATGTGCATGTCAGCTAAAGTTCCCACTGCCGTCAGATTAGCCAACCAGGCATTAGCAGAAAACAAATGTGTAGTAATTGGCCTTCAGAGCACTGGAGAAGCTCGAACTGAGGAAGCTGTTACAAAATATGTATGCTATTTTTGTACTTTAAATTAGGGCTGTCAATTTGGCTCGTTGTTCGTGAACAACTCGTGTTCGACTCGTTAAGCAGCTCGTGTTCGACTCGTTCGTTAAGCCTAACGAGCCGAACACGAACAAATTTTTAAGCTCGAAATGTAAACGAGCCGAACACGAACAACACTCGAAATGGTTCGAAAAAAAAATTATATAACTTTTTATATAACAATATATTACGTATATTATTTATATAATAATATATTATATATATTTATGTCTAAGTTTAAATCATAACACCTCATGTGACAATGTGGTTAGTGTCTTCTTTTGTATAGATTTGATCCAGGTTTGAATCCCACACTTTACATCTATTTTTCTAAATTTTAGTTTAACGAACTAATTTCGAGCCGAACACGAGCCGAACACGAATATTTAAATTGAGCCGAACACGAAGACACTGTTCACGAGCCTATTTCGAACACGAGTTGATTTCAAACACGAGCTATTTCGAACGAGCCGAACACGAGCCAAGCCTGAGCTCGCTCAAGCTCGGCTCGTTTACAACCCTACTTTAAATAATGAAGCATTATTTCTACTTTCAACCGAGCATTTTCAGTGCATGTCCTAAGTTGTGCTTATCTTTCAACTTATTCTCTCCACTGGATCTTGCAGGGTCTAGAGCTTGATGAGTTTGTCTCAGGACCACGAGAACTTTTACTCAAATTGATCGAGGACAACTATCCTTTGCCACCGAAGCCTGATATAGCACGAAGTATGCATCCAAGCTGTACATGCTTCCTGTTTTAGGTTAGAGATCTCCTGTAAAAAGCCTAATATTCCACCACTGTAACAGGGGATCAGAGTGTGAAAGAGCTTAACCGGAAGAGGCATTCTGTGACACCAGATGTTTCTTATAAAGGGAGAGCAATAAAAGTTAAACGGAAAGCAGAAACTGATGATTGTGAAAGTGACGAGGAATCTCAAAGTGAGTGCATATGATTTCTTGCACAAGCGAAATTTTTTTATTAGAAGTGCTGAACTTTCTTAGTGGCAGGAAGACAGTTAGCATGCGGCTTTACTAGGATGATATTATACCACGTCTGGTGTAGTTTGTAACGCAGCATGCCTTATCATTCTTCTAATTAAATTGTGTACTGTTCAGCATCATGTAATATTTTTTTTAAATAACAAACTTTGATTATTAGCCACGAAGAATATACATGATAACGTAGCTGTGTAAGACTGCTTCAAGAAAAAAAGGCAAGTACATCAGACAAACGTATATAAAGCATGGTGAATGATAATCATCCTAGAGAAGTGGATCAAGCAATCATGTTAACAGTGGTGACTTTCAAAGAAAGTCACTTGTGAAGTTCAGAATGCCAAAATCATTAGGGAAGTTGTTACAGTTTGCTTGGAATTTATTAAATCTGAGAGATAATATAATTGCTTTCTTTTGGTTAGCTCCTTGACAAGAAAATACTAGTTAATATCTTGTCCACTAAATTAACTGAACTTCTAATAAATTCTTGAAATTAAACCAAGCTCATTTCGTTAAAGCCCTCATCTTCAGAACGGACAATCATGATACTGGTGAAAATGTTTTATCTTATGGAGAAGAATAAGAGTAGCAATTCTTCAATAGGTTAGAAAATAACTAGTTTTGGTATGGCTCTCCATATATTAGAAGAGCCAACTTCCAAAACTTAAGGGATATAGGCGGGACTACCAATAACAATAAGTGAAGGCACAAACTCAAGGGATGAAAATCCTAAGGGGGCTAAGGTAAAGGAGCTGCACCCAACAAATTGAAGGTCTTCATTTGATTATCAATATTTACATCATAATTATTCTGTGTCGATACAATGATAAAAAGAGCAAATCGCGGAAGATGGAACCTTTGAAGATTATTACCTTAATTCTGAATGAGTCTTGAAGCAATCACATAATCATGACAAAAAAACTTAATCTTTTCGATGTGAGGGCGGACCTTCAAAGTTCACTTTTTGCTAATAGTGCTGCGAAGAAAGTGTCAATCCACAGCTTCTAGCTAAAGTGCAGAAATATTCATCTCAACAAGAATACAAGGCTTATATGACTGAAAGAGTCTAGTGATAGCAGCTTCAACCTGTAATGACTTGTCAAAAATTGAATCGAAAGAGTATAGTGTGGGGCTGTTGATGTAGTGTACCCAGGGATGAGTGAAAACCACTCAAATGTGGTAATGGGGGGTTTCTCAAAGGCATCAATGAACGGAGACCACTTCAATATATCCATCTATAGGCCATTCATATAATATACATACCTATAAAAATTCTATAATATTCTGGGTCCAATGATAATTTGATAAGCACGTAACACCTCTGAGAAATGAGAACTGGTTTATCATGGAGGGTGGCAGTCGACTTGTGCCAAACAATATCCGTGTCATGATGATTGAATTAATAGAATTTGGGTGGCAAACATGATTGAGAGGGACCCTTTAGTGAAAGAGGAGCATGCAACTGGATTTAGTGGTTGGACACTACCATTTAGAGAAATATGGGATAAGGAATCTAGAACAACCTGAAGACCATCCCTAGCCGCCTGTCGGCTAAGGGTGGATAACAATGAAATGACAGGAATATCCACTAACTTTCTAGATATTGGCGCTGTGGGTAAAACCCAAGAAGGCAATGTAGGAGGTGTTGAAGAAATGGAAATGTGCTCCAATTCCAATAACAAAAATGGATAGTGGTAATCTTAGTTTGCTTCGGAGATAAAGGTGGAGATCTAACTTGACAAAGGGAGCTAGAAGAATGAAAGTTCATTGTGTGAAAGAAATGGGTTGCCTAAGGAATAGAGGTTTTGAGTTCCAATTGAGATAGGATCTTGATGCCTTTAGGTTTTGGTGCCAAGGATGCACGGAATAGATTTCTCAAAGTTTAAACAAACTAAGTTGTTTTAGCAGGAGGATAGGGTGACCCACTGGAGAGAAGGATATTAAGAAGTGCGTGGAGTGATGCCATTCTAACACAAGTGTTCTGGAACGCTCATGAGCTGCCAAGACGGGAGAGATGCATTGACACAGTGAAAAGCAAATTTTTTGATCCATGAAGTTGAGTGTGGGAGTCATGAACGATGCTAGGAGGAATGCATGATGAAGATACATAATAGCACATTTCTTGAGCTTCATGTAATATTATTGTTGCTTGTTTAACATAAGATTGAACTGCATAACGAGGCAGACATTTGTTATAATGATTTAATTCTTATTATTTTTCAACACATTTGAATGAAATCTTTGATCATGAATTATTGGGTTGTGTTCATCTAATATATTGATTTTTTTATTTTTTAATGCAACATGGAAAGTGGCAGCAAACAACAATTTTTTGTTAAATATAAAGAAAATTGGGTTGAGTCCAAACCTCTTAGGAGACATGATATGCGGAGACATAATGGTGCTAGTTGGGATTGGGAAGGAAGAGGGAGTGTAAGAGCATTGGGTAGAGCGAGAGAATAAGAGACATGGGGGAGTTATACTATTTTGAAGAATAATTGAGGGTGATACAATCGAGAGAAAAAGTATAAGAGGGAGTATAAAAGCATAGGGGTGAACAAGAGAATAAGAGACATGGAAGAGTTATACAATTTTGAGGAATATTTGAGAGTGGATACAATCAAGAAAAAAGTAAAAGAGGGAGTATAAGAGCAGAGAATAAGAGACATGAAGAGTTATTGACACATGAGCTTTTTTCGAGTCACAACACTATAGCAACTATAGTGCCGCGTCCGCGACACTGTAGCTGTTATAATACCGCGACCCAAATTTCCTCCCATTTCCTTTTTCGTTTCCTCTCTTTTCCTTTTCTTTTCTATGATTCTTCTATTTTAGTTTCTACCTAATTTATGCCTGCCTTTTCTCTTTGTTTCCTTTTCCATGGAATCCCCTATTATAAATTCTTGTTAATTATATTACTTTCTTTTTATTTTATTTCCTAGTTGAAAGCATTGCCTAATATAAGTCCTCATTTTTCTTATATATTTGGGCTGTTTTTGCTTTGGAAAGGAGATGGGGATGATTGTAGATTTCTGATTACTGCCATTGAGGCATTTTTCCCCTCTGGGGGCTGTATTCGACGGTGAGGTGTTTCGGTTGTAACTCGTTCTAGGAAGTGACTGTCTCCAAGGGTTCTGACGGTGCTCCGACTGTAGCTTGACCCTGAAGAGACATTTTTTTTTTCCTGCAACCCTTATTGGAGTCTGCATTGTGTCTTTATATTTGTGTTTTTTTGTCGCGTTTATTTATTGTTTTGACGAGTCATGTTGTAATTTTTGAAATTCAGCAATAACATTATTATTTTTTTTGTGGTCTGGGCTGCCTCCTTCGGTATTATTTATAATCCTATTTCTCTATTAGTAAAAGTTGCTTTTGTGGTTTGGGCTGCCTCCTCTGGTATCATTTGGTATCCGCCCCTACCCAAACCACCCCCACCAAAATTTTTATACCGTAAAAGCTTTGACGCATGAGGTTGAAGCTTCCTCAACCTCGAAGATTGATGCGAGAGCTTTTTCCGGGTCACGACACTGTAGCAACTACAGTGTCGTGACCCAAATTCTATGCCATTTCCTTTTTCGCTTCCCTCTCTCATCCTTTCCTTTTCTATGATTCTCTTATTTTATTTCCTACCTATTTTATGTCTGCCTTTTCTATTTCTTTCCTTTCTTATGAAATCCCCTATTATAAATCCTTGTTTAATATATTACTTCTTTTTTATTCGATTTTTTATTTGAAAGCATTGCCTAATTTAAGTCAGAGTCTCGCTTATATATAGAGGCTGTTTTTGCTTAGGAAAGGAGATGAGGATGAGTGTAGATTACAGTGCTGTCTTTGAGGCATTCTTCCCCTCTTGGGCTATATCCAAATGCGAGAAGATGCTCCGGTTGTATCACGTCTGAGGTGATGGCCGTCTCCAAGGGTTCGGGTGATGCTCCGGATATAGCTTGACCCCGAAGAGACATTTTTTCTTTCCGCATCCCTTATTGAAGTCAGTGTTGTGTCTTTATATTTATGTTATTTTGTTGTCGTTTATTTCATTTTTTGACGAGTCTTGTTGTAATCTTTGATATTTAGCAATAATATTACGATTTTTTTGTGGTTTGGGCTGCCTCCTCCGGTATCATTTATATACTTATCTCCCTATTAATAAAAGTTGTTTTTGTGGTTTGGGTTGCCTCTTTCTTTATCAGTAATACAATTTTGAGGAATAGTTGAGAGTGGATACAATCTAGAAAAAAGTAAAAGGGGATTAAATGAGTGATAAGGTAAAAAATAAAATAAAATAAAAAGAAAAAAAAAAGACCTTTGTCTGGTGACAAACTAGATCTCACTGCGGGTGTAGTAATGATGTTATCGTGATGGTGTTGTTGAAACTGTCATATGTTCTCCATTATTTCACTTGAGGTAGTGAGGTCTCCTTTAGAGGGTATTGGTGATGGCAGCAAGCCAAAGGTCAATCGAGCTTTCTTTAGATCTTCATGTGATAATTGTGAGTCATTTGACAGTGGAAATTCACTCCAACGAAGAAAATTTCTTTTATGAACCCTATGGACTCTGGGTAGTAATATGTAGATTAGGTCTTTATTCTTTCTTTAAATAATTTGTAGGGTCTAGAAGCTAGGACATGTAACTTTTGCATTAGGAAGAATGCATACTAATACATAATACACTTTTATACTTTCTATGAATGTCATTTGTAATTTCATAGGTTTTGTTAGAGAAATAAATTTATTTTCTTTTCTCAAAACATAGTTTTATGCAAATGTTTACTAAATGATGCAAGCAGAAAATGATGTGTGCATGAATATGAAAATTATCCTATTTGATGTGTCCCAGAGTCACATGTAGTGGAGGAACGGATGAAGTGGTAATTATATAATTGATTCCAAAAGATTTTAAATAAGTAGCTAATCAATTGATTTCATCATATCAGATAACTAGGC